TCTCCTACATAGATCCCCCTCTGAGTGGTTGACAGTGGTAGCTGGGTACCATCTAGTTCTTCTGGCCTCATAGTCGTAGAGGCTCAGGGTCGCATGGTGTACCAGTCGCTTGGACTAATTGTTTCCATGCATCTAGTTTTCTGCATTCCTCTTTGCTCCGGACAAGGAGAGACCCATCATTGCACCTAGGTGGCCACTTGCAAGCTTTTAAGATCCCAGTTGCTACTCACCAAAGTAGGATGTGGAACAATGTTTTTGTGTAGTATGTTATGCCAGTTGAGCTTGATGGACCCTGCTACCATGGACTTGAGCCCACAGGTCCAACTACTTGTTCCTTCTGGGTAGCTGGCTGAAGACACACAACAGTTTTTACACTGCTCATTGTAGATCTGGCTTCCAGGAACCCAAACCACATTGTCCTGAAAGGTTTCTCTGACTGGTGAGTCCCCAGAAGTTCTTGACTTGGGCACCATTGTCTCTGTCAGCAGGTAATCCCTGGCTGTTACAAGAAATTCTAGATTAGAAAGTTTTTCTCAAACAACTCTCCTCAACATTTTGTTTTCTTCCTTGAAGCAATCAATACCCATTCTGCTAGCAGAAGCTCTACTGATGCTTTCAGATCCTAAGTAGCTAATTCCCTTGCCATGGAAGTAAGATGTTCAAATGCAGATGTAGCCCTGCTCAGTTGTGGAAGGGAAGAGAGTGAGCCCCTCTTACCCATCTCAGCTGCTTTTCTTTCCTGCTTCTTACCTTTATCTCTACTATACCTACCTTCAGCTGGCCTGTAGCACTGTCACTGAGCCTAAAAAGACTTAATTTGGGAATAAGGCCATAGATCCCCCGTTGGGGAATCATCAGTAAAGAGCTGGGCCAGAAGTAGCTGCTTGGTCCTTTTTCATCATGTTGTTGTTGTTGTTGTTATGTGCCGTCGAGTCAGCCCTGACTCATAGTGACCCCTCCTTGGGTTTCCGAGGCAGTATCACTATGGAAGTAGGATTGCCCAACCTTCCTTCCGATGAGTGGCTGGTGGGTTTGAACCGCCAGCCTTCTGATTAGCAGGCAAGTGTCTTAGCCACTATGCTACCAGAGCTCCCTTTTTCATCATAAGAGCTCAAATTCCTAAACCTAACCTTTTAAAGAAAGGGACAAACCACTTTCATTAGGTTTCCTGCCTGCTTCCTTCCTTCCCTCCATTCCTTCTTCCTTTCTCCCTTTTCCCTCTCTAAGACTCACTGGAGGAACCTCTAATTCTTTGCTTAGAGCATTTTGCTCTTAGAAGGGCTTTCCAATAAGAGTCTGAGATAAAAGAAGGATAGTAGGAAACCTAGAATCTTGTTGATTTTTGCATAGTTTGTTATATTACCTTGGGTGATTTGATTTTTTTTTTTTTTAATTAAAAAATGGAAATGAAAATATCAGAGATCATCGAGGGAAACACTACCCAGCAATGGCAGTGGGATAAGATCTAGATGGCCACATGATGGTTGCACTCATATAGCTCCCTGTTGTTTTACTCTCTATATTCTAATAAAAGCTAAGATTTCTTGAAGGCTGATTGCATACCTGTCTCTGTTACAAGTGCTTTATATTCATTAACTCATTTAACCCTCACAAAAACCTTATGAGGAAGATACAAGTTTTAATCTCCATTTTAAGAAGAAGAAACTGGAGCACAGAGAAGTTAAATAAGCTGCCCAAGGATACACAGCTAGTAAGAGGAAGAGCTGGAATTTAAACCCAGGAGGTCTGGCTGGTTCCAGAGCCCATTATTGCCTTTGACTGTTATGTTATATTGCCTCGTTGGAGAACTGGGTTTTTTCCCACTGTCACTGGGGGAAATGGTGGAATGTATTTCTTGTGTGTGTGTGTGTGTGTGTGTGTGTGTCTCCCCAGGCTTATTGGAAATATTACAGCATAGCCAAAAGACTCAAATGGTTCCATGTGGTAACCAGAATGTATTTTGATTTAATTAGTTTGAGCCATGTGTGAATTTTGACCTCTTAGGGCCTTTCCAGGTTCAAAGGTGTCTTAGTTACCTTGTGCTGTAGTAACAGAAATAGCATAAATAGCTGGCTTTAACAGACAAATTTGTTTCTTGTTTAAGAAGCTAGAGGTCTGCATTCAGGGTACTGGCTTTAAGGAAAGGCTTTCTCTCTCTGTTGGCGCTGGAGGCAGGTCCTTGTCTCTGAGCTTCTGCTTCTCCATGATTTTGATGTGGCTTGGCATCTGTCTTCCCCCATCTCTGCTTTTCACATACTAGTTTAATTTCTTTTATACCTCAAAAGAAATGTACTCAAGGAGCAAGTAGTTGTGGGCTTGGGACCATGGGCACAGGCAACAACATCAAGCTCAATTGGCATAACATGCTACACACAAACATTGTTCTACATCCTTGTTTGGTGAGTAGCAACTGAGGTCTTAAAACGTTGCCAGCAGCCATGTAAAAGCAACAGTGGGTCTCTCCTCCTCCAGAGCAAAGAAGAATGAAGAAAACCAAAGATACATGAAAACAAGTAGTCCAGGGGACTAGTGAACCATGCAAACCTTAACCTATATGACCATGAGACCAGAAGGACTAGATGGTACCTGGCTACCCTGTCAACCATTAAAACAAGGATCAGTGCAGGAGATCCTGGATAGAGTGGGAGAACAATGTGGAACAAAATTTGAAATCATAAAGACCAGGTTTACTGGTCTGATAGAGTCTGGTGAGACCCCTGAGACTGTGGCCCCTAGTTACTCTCCAGGCTGGAAATGAACTCACTCCTGTGGCTTCCAGCCAAAAAAAGAGAGAGGCATATAGGGTGAACATTTACATCAGGTGGGTACACTCCTTAGAATGATCAATCATGGGGAGAGCAAAAGGGCAGTGTTTGTACAGGAAGATAACTTGGGGCAGGAATGCATAGGAATAATGGGCACGGGGAAGGTAACTATAAGGAGGAAGTGGGAAGAGAGCTGTTACATTGTGGGGAATTGCAGTCAATGTCATGAGACAAAATGTGTATGAACTGCTATATGGAAAATGAATTTGCACTATAAACTTTCACCCAAATCACAGTAAAAAAATTTTTTAAAAAGATGTACTCAAAATACACCCTATACTAATCGTATCTTATAAATATAAGAAAGAACCCATTCCCAATTAAGATTATAAGTACAGGCATAAAGGTTAGAATTTGCAATACATATTTTTTGGGGACACAGTTCAACCCATAACACAGGGCATCCTTTGTACTCCATGTAGTTTAATCTTAGCAGTTTCTCATTAGGTTAGCAGTCCCCACTTAGTTACTCCTTCTATGAATGACAGGAGGGGAGACTATTGGGGGCTGTAGGGTTCCTTCATGGCAGAATATCTTCACCCCTAGACCTGCCCAAGGAGGCAGGGAGCAAGGTGACTCAGAGAATGTTACTTTACCTGTGCTTAGACAAGGAGACTAGTGCCCAGAGACTCAAATAGCCTCTGCTAAAAATAAGCAGGCATTACTGAGCTCTCTTCAGGGTCTGACCTGTCTCCATTTCCACCCCTACAGGAGAGAAGCTGCTTGAAGGGCAGGTGATCCAGCTTGAGGACGGGACCACTGCATACATTCACCAAGTGACAGTGCAGAAAGGTGAGGGCACGCCCACACATACACACCTACCACTGAGGAATCCCTCCGTGGCTCTGAGCTCCAGAGAAAGGCAAGCATTGCTCTCATTTCAGAGTCTCTCGCCTTTGAGGATGGACAGCCTGTGCAGCTGGAAGATGGCAGCATGGCCTATATACACCACACACCCAAAGGTGAGGCCATAGTCACCAGGACCGATGGGGAAGGAAGGGAGGCATAAATGATAGAGATTGGAGGATGGAGACGCACACTCCTGGGGTGGGGGCTCAGACATGAGAGCTGTGATCCCTGAGGACATCAGGGCTCACCTGAATTAGCAGCCTCACCTACCTTCTCTGGTGCAAACCACAGGAGCACCTATATCTGCTACCAGGAGGCTAAGCATTGTGGGTCAGTGGCTGATAATGGCTTTGGCTTTAGCAGAGTCTCAAAGTCTTAGCTTTAAATAGGACCTGAGAATATCATCCAAGACCATGAGTGAAAACTTACTCATATTTAAGAGTGAAACATACAAGGTACTGAAGAATATTGATTTATGCCTTCTACAAGTAACTTCTTAAGCAACAACTACATTCCAGACACTCTGCTAGGTGTGGAGGATACAAAAGAGAACAAAGTCAGACACGGTCCCTGCTGTCCTGGAGTCTAGTGAGAGTAACTGACGTAAAAGAAACCATCACTGATGAACTCACTGTTGCAAACTGGGATCAGACTCAGAGAGGCTTCTCTGAGTAGGTAACCCATGAGTGAGAGCTGAAGGATAAAGTGGCATTAGCTAAGGGGAGAGGGCTATCAGGAAGCCTCAGTACTCTAGACAAGGAACAGTGTGTGCAGCCCAGAGAAGAGAGGAAGAATGTCACATTCAGGGAATTGCTACAAGCTAGAGAACTGGGAGTGAGGGCAGAATGAGTAAGATGAAGCTGAAGAGAGACAGGAGCCAGAGTGCCCAGAGGTATGAGTGTTGGAATAAGGATTTGGGTTTTTGTCCTGAGACCCAATGGACTACAGGCAAACAGTTCACCAAAAAAAAAAAAAAAAAACACTGCTGTCAAGTCATTTCCGACTCATAGCAACTCCTCCTTGGGTTTCTGAAGTGATATCTCTACGGAAGTAGATGGCCCAGTCTTCCTTCCGAGGAGTGGGTGGTGGGTTTGAACCACCAGCCTTCTGGTTAGCAGTCAAATGCCTTAGGCACTACGTGACATGATGCATTTTTATGCAAAGACCTCTCTGGATGCCATGCATCCTGCAGGATACTAGAGGGGTCAGGAGACTCTTGTGGTCATTTAGACCAAGAGGACAATGATCCTCTGTTAAGCCTCAAGGCACTTGTGAGTTCCCAGTCAGTGCTCCACAGGAGATCTCTTCCTTAGGAGGGCCAGCAAAAGCCAGTCACCAAGGTAGAAGGACAGGAGGAAAAACCCTTCCAGGAGAAATTCAATGCTAAAAACTTTCCATGGGATAGGTACTTCTGGTTAACTTAAAGCCAGGGTCCCAGCTATATCTCTTTCCTTTGTGTGGCATCTGGGCTGACTCTGGGTTCTCTGCAGAGGGCTTTGACCCCAGTGCCCTGGAAGCTGTCCAGCTGGAAGACGGCTCCACTGCCTACATTCACCACCCCATGGCTGTGCCAGGGGACAGCACCATCCTGGCTGTGCAGGCAGAGGTGGGCCTGGAGGACCTGGCAGCAGAGGATGATGAGGGCTTTAGCACAGAGACAGTGGTGGCCCTGGAGCAGTATGCCAGCAAGGTGAGTGAGCATGCACAGCCTGACACCCCTCTTCCCCGAGTCACCTTTCTAGATGGTGGGGCCTTGTATGCCTACCACCTCTTGCCCCTGCCCTTTTTTATCTATCTCTCTAGAGGACAAGGGCAGGCCTGGGCTTCAGCAAGGCCTGGGCTCTTCCCTTTGCCTCTCTGCTCCAGCTCTCTCCACTCATCTCTCACACATCATGTCTGGGGTGTGTGTCACAGCCTGGCCAGGGCCCCTGACAGCTGTTTGCACTCACTCTTGTTTACGCTATCCCTGCAGAGGGGAGGCAGCTGTAAGAAGCAGTGACATCCGGATAGTGGTAATTTAGGCCCAGCTTCACGTCAGCTGTCGTAATAATCCTCTGTGCTGTCTAGGACAGACCATGCCAGTGACTTTTATTAGTTTTCCAGTCCATTGAGGTCAGATGTTCTTATATTTATTTCTTCTCTGTGACTCATTTAGTCATGTGGGAAAATAATTTCAGTAGGCAATGATGAGGGCTGATACAACAGAGCAGCTGGGATTCTTGGAACTTGAAGCCAGCACAGTAGCTCAGCTGAAAAGGAGAAGGCTCCTGACTCCCCAAACGTCAGGCAGTCTAAGCGCTCTGCTAGAGCTGTAGCCCTGCCCGTGGGAGAAACTGGGGTAGAGATCAATGAGCTTTCCAAACAGGTGGCCCCAGCTTCCTAGACCACCAGTTTGGCCCAAAAGTGGGAGGCAGGTGTTTTTATAACCTAGAGCAAAAGAGGAAATCGACTTGTCTTTTCAAAACGAAGTACAGAACTTTACAGCAGACCTCTACTCCTCTAGTCCCCAGAGGTGTATTTTGAAACTGGCTGCTGATGGAAAGGGAATTGGGCTTTAAATCATGAGCCCTAGGTTTGTGCTGGCTCTGTCTCTACCTGGTCTGACCTTGTGAGAGTCACTACTCTCCCTAGCCTCAGCTTATTCCTCTCTAATGCAATGAAATTGGAGCGGATGACCTCAGAGGTCACTTCTGGCCCTGTTATTTCCTTGATTCCTCAATTACCCAAGGAGCTAGTGAGACATGGTAATAAAAGCAGAGTGCTTGAGTGGGTTAGCCCATCAGAGTGCTTGGTGGCCTGCGACCCTTTCCTCTCCAGGGGGAAGCTGCTTAAGCATCCAGCTATTTGACTTCCTGACCTAGAGCCTGACTATACAGGCCTGGCCATGGATTTGGTCTTACCCTGTTGTCCGCGGCTCACCATGATTTCCCAAGTTCTGCTTCAGGAGCTCTTGCAAAGGCCAAAGTGTAGTCTGGCACTATCCTGAAAACAAAGACTAAGGGAAGAGCCCACTAGGACCCTACCCAGGAAAGAAGAGTAAGGGCTTGCTGTGGCCAGAGGCAGGTGTGAAATGGGTGGCTTTAGCAATGTTCCCAGGAAAGGAAATGAAAGGGAAGGAATTGTTAGCTGGGCACTGTGGTTAGTGCAGCCCCCTGCCTTGGGCCATCTTGTTTCTTCAGCTTGCTGGTTGTGGCTGCTTTACTCTGGGCTCCATACCTTGCTGAGTAGTTCTAGCCGAGCTCATCCCCACAGCAAGCCTGCTTATTAATACATCTTCTGAACAAAAGTTTCTGATGGGAAGAAGGGGGTCCCTCCTGTGATAAGATACAGATGTCCAGATTGCAGCCTCTCCTAGGTGTGTGTGGTCAGACAAGGAGATTCTGGCACTAAGTTTAGCTTAAGTGTAACTGTTCAGATACCCCCTCCCTTACCTGGCTGGTTTTGGAGATGCCCTTTCTTCAGTAGCTGTCACACCTCCTGTGACATTTAGTTCTCCCTCTGTTAATCGGGATGGGAGGGGTGGCTCCACATGCCAGCCCTATATCTGCACTATGTCCAAATGTCTGTTCCCTATCATCCCAGGTTGCCCTTCTTTGCCAGAGGCCCCTGGCAGCTTATATAACCTTGTTTATTGGGTCTTAAGCTATTAACTGAGCCCTGTGTCCCACCCATTCCTTCCCTTCATTGGGATGAATACATGTGGGACCCTAAGATATTTTCCTCAGGTTCTGCATGACAACCAGGCTCCCCATAATGGCAAAGGGCAGCAAGTTGGGGACAGAGCATTCCGCTGCGGCTACAAGGGTTGTGGACGTCTCTATACCACCGCTCATCACTTGAAGGTAAGATTGCCAGCAAACAGCTTTTAGCTTTACCATCTTCCCCACCAAGCTTTGACTGGAAATAGTCTCTGCCTGCGACTTGCTCATTGCCTGCTAGAGGGAAGATGTGAGTGTACAGAACCCTGTCAGTACAGGGGGCTATGAACCATATGAGGAGTGCAGCAAGGGAAGAGAATCACAGAGGGCTTTCTGGAGGAGGTGAGCCCTCAAATGAAGAAGCAAATAAAGGAGGTGACCAATATCCAGATGCTGCACTCTGTGCCGTAAAGAGAAACAGTGAGCCCAGACCATACCCTTGTCCCTCTAGATCATGTCCTTGCTTATCTTCAGGTGCATGAACGAGCTCATACAGGTGACCGTCCATACAGGTGTGACTTCGCCAGCTGTGGGAAGGCCTTTGCTACAGGTAATCTCCCTGGATGGAGACCAAAGGTGGACTGCTTCCAGTAAGGGTGAGGGGTTTTAGATCAGCTTTGAGATCTCCCTAAAAGAAACTCAACACCAGGCTGCCTTCCCAGAGAAACTCCTATCCAGAGGGTGCTGACTGACAGGGCTGCCTCTCTGGAGGAAACCCTGTTACAGTAGGGAGAGGTGGCATGGTCCAGGCTAGCAGAGGAGCCTGGGGGCTTGGCAGAGAGACCCTGCCACTTGGGTCAGCTCTGACACTGACCAGCTGGGGGGTGTTAGGTGGGCCAAGGCATCTCTCTGGGCTTCATTTTTCTCCTGTGTGAAACAGGGACCTTAAACCACAGAGTCCCTAGTTCCTGCTGAGGCTTCTGTTCTGCAGTGGTTCCAGGTGCCCCTAGAGAGGGAAGGAGGGCAGAGTGAGCTTTTCCCACCCTTCTTAGCTCCCAGGTTGGGGAAGGATAGAGACATATTTGGATCTCTTGAGCCAAAGGAGCTCTGGAACCTCACAGACCGCACCTTAAGATGGAGTGCCTCTGGATTAAGAAGGTGGGAAGGTGGAGCATAACGCCCCACTGGGTGCTCTGCTCACCACTCCCTTCCCCACACATGGACAGGATATGGGCTAAAGAGCCACGTGCGAACCCACACTGGTGAGAAACCATACAAGTGCCCAGAGGAGCTGTGCAACAAGGCCTTCAAGACCTCAGGAGACCTGCAGAAGCACGTCCGCACCCACACTGGTAGGCTGGGCCCTGTCCCCTAGGAGGGGGTACTCAGTCGCCTTTCAGGCTTCAACCCAGTACCTGCCACACCTTCCTCCTACACAGCCTCCTTCCTGAGCCACCCCTCATTTCCTCCTCATCTCCACAGGTGAACGCCCATTCCGGTGCCCCTTTGAGGGCTGTGGTCGCTCCTTCACCACCTCTAATATCCGCAAGGTACATGTGCGCACCCACACAGGCGAGCGTCCCTACACCTGTCCCGAGCCCCACTGTGGCCGTGGCTTTACCAGCGCCACCAACTACAAGAATCACGTACGCATCCACACAGGTGGGCCAGCTGGCATGCAAAGACAACCCCCTCTGAGACCCAAACCCGTCTACCAGTTTGATCTGAGTTAACATTCTCAACTCCCAACCCAAGAGTCCCTCTATGCTGGCCATTCTAGACTGGTCTGAGGCAGGAGGTTCTGTATCCCCGGGACCACTCTTGTATTTGCAGGGCATTATTCCTCCATTTGCAGTTAGTTCTGATCTGACAGGTATTGCCAGCCCTCTCTGGAGCTCCTTGGCTAGCTGCCATCCATCTGCACCCACCTTGAATCCTCCAGCTGAGCTCCCAGAAAGAGGCTAGGGATAAAGGGAAAAAGGCAGAGTGAAATGTCACCTTCATCTCCTTACCTCATCCACTATCCATATGATTCCTGTGCATCCTCACCCTCCCCAGTGTCGCATCCCTTATCCTGCCCTCTGTGTCAGCTCCTCTTGGTCATCTATGTTCCCCTCACTCTCAACTCACCTAACACTTTACTCATCCCTCTCTATCTCCTGCCTCTTCTGTTTACCACTTTCTGCCTTCCTACCATCAACCTTACAAGCCCCTTACCCCCCACCAGCTTCCTCTCTAGCACCAGCCTTGCCCTGTCCTCCCATTTTCTCTCCACCTTGTCTCTGGGTTCACTGTTCCCACACTCACATTCTCTCTCAGTTCTACTAGCCATCTTCCCCAACTCTGTCCATCCATAATCCCAGATCTCAGTCCCTTTCTCTCCCTATGTAACGCCCTTCACCAGCCCTGTCCTATTAGTTTCCCCTTTGCCAGCCCCAGTTCCTGCCCCCCCCCCTCACAGCCCAGTGTCCCCAGGGGAGAAGCCATACGTTTGCACGGTGCCAGGCTGTGGGAAGCGCTTCACCGAGTACTCAAGCCTGTACAAGCACCATGTGGTGCACACGCACTGCAAGCCCTACACCTGCAGCACCTGCGGCAAGACCTACCGGCAGACCTCTACCCTGGCCATGCATAAACGGAGTGCCCATGGCGAGCTGGAGGCCACGGAGGAGAGCGAGCAGGCCCTTTATGAGCAACAGCAGCTCGAGGGTAAGGGCCATGACTAGAGGAGAGTGGACAGGGTGAGAGTGGGGACAAGCCGGACCTCCCCATGGCTGTCTGGTGGCAAGTGTCAGCCTGGGCTCTCCTCTCCCAGCCGCCTCTGCAGCTGAGGAGAGCCCGCCACCCAAACAACCCCGCGTTGCTTACCTTTCGGAGGTGAAGGAAGAGGGCGATGACATCCCAGCCCAGGTGGCCATGGTGACAGAGGAGGATGGGGCCCCACAGGTGGCTCTGATCACTCAGGATGGTGCCCAGCAGGTACAGGCCCTGGGGAGCAAGGGCAGGGGTGGACAACTCTGGCTGACCCCTCTCCCACTCTCTCTGGAGGCTTGGGAGCCCTAAAGGTCTAACAGCACCACCTCCACCCACTTTCCCTTTATAGTCATGCTGACCTCCGAGAGCTGAAGCCTGAGGCGAAAGGGACCAAATCATGTACTCAGCCCCTCCTCTTCGTCATGCTTCCAACTCAGTCTCTGGGAGTTAGTAGTTTCCCTCTTTACTTGGAGGTTGAAACAGTCCTGATCATCTGAATGGGATGCTTAGACACTCTTTTCAAAAGAGGGATGTTGGTGTAGGGGTCAGAGTATATGGCATGGAGTCTAGAGGCCTGGGGCCTAGTCCCACTGGTGTTATTAACCCCAATAGTATAACCTGACCCACGTCAATACTCTCCATGTCAAATGTGGCCTGTACCTTTGGCGTTGTCAAGGGTATGAAATTAGGTGGAGACCCTGAATTTCATGGAATAGAACATAAATGCCAAGAGGTAGTAAATAGAAGTGGTCACAGTTCTTCTGGTGTCCCTTTCTTTGCAAACTAAGATGTATTTCACTTGACTGTGCTCCACCCCTGTGACATGAAGCTAACCTTTTAGCTTAGTAACAGAATAACCTTGTCTGGGAGAACAGATACATCCTCATTTGGGCCTTTCAGACAATTTAACTCTAGGGCTTCCAACTTACCTTCTCCCCTCCTGTCGGCAGGTCAGCCTGTCCCCTGAAGACCTGCAGGCCCTGGGGAGTGCCATCAGTATGGTGACCCAGCACAGCAGCACCACCCTCACCATCCCCAGTCATGACAACGACCTTGTCACATCTGGCGCACATACGGTCACCATGGTCAGCGCTGATGGCACCCAGACGCAGCCCGTATGAGCAGGCAGTTTGCTTGGGGTTTCTTGTTCTCTTATCATTCCTTGCTGTAGGGAGGGCATTAAAGTGTAGGCTAAGCTTGTCAAGACTTCTTACAAGGACATTGTTTCCCAAACAAACAGGGGTCTTCTCTGCAGCTTCTCTGGGCCATCAGAAACTCTCATCCTTAAAAGCATTTGACTAGGAGACAAGAGACAAGTTTCTAAATCTGCCTATCCCTAATTTGCTTTGTAACCATAGGCAAGTCACTTTTCCATGGACTTTGGTGCATTTTCAAGTTAGAAGATTAAATTATTTCTAGAGTCTTTTATCTTTAATAACTCTGTCCTTCTATGATTCATAATTGTTGGAGAACAACCCAGCCTCACTTATCTCTGAGCCCCAAGCTAATTAATCTGACCCATAATGGTTTTCTCCATTCCTTTCTGGGTTGTTATTCTTGGAGGTATTTTTATTTGTATTGAAAGGAGGGAGAATCATTCAGGTGCTTTGGAAAACCTTGTTCTATATTTCAGGTCACAATCATTACCTCTGGAGCAGTGGTGGCTGAGGACTCAAGTGTAGCATCCATTCATCATCAACAGGTGGCGCTGTTGGCTACAGCCAGTGGAACACACATTGCTGTGCAGGTGTGTAAAGAAAGGTCTGGGAGGAATAGGGATCCTCCACCAGGGAGCAAGGTAGGGAAATTAGATGGGATCTTGAAGGGAAGGGTATTTGTCTTAAAAAGAGCCCATTTCAGAGGGAAAATCCTTTTCTGCCTAAATCAACTCTTCCTTGGTTGAAGCAGTGTAGTGAAGTCCTCTTCTGGCTTTCAGGATAGCTTTGATGGCCATGCATCTGGTGGTCTAGAACTTTTGTTTCTTTGTGTTTCCATTTCTTCATGTGGAAAAGCAGCAGACTGAAATAGATGCTTGTTCCCCTCTCCAGCCAGTCATACTCTGAATAAATTTCTCTCTCTGACCTGGTCCACTCCATGGCTCCTGGCCAGGCCTAGACTAGTGAGACTTACTAGTGAACTGCCTATTTATCAGGGCGCTACTAAGTGAGTGTTCAATGTGTGGCACAGGGTGGATGGAGGAGATTTTAAAAAGACCACACAATCTGTGCCGAAAATAGGAGAATCTGGGAGGAAGGGTCTCATTATGTCCTTCTTTTCTACCTCCTTCTCCACAGCTGGAGGAGCAGCAGACCTTAGAGGAAGCCATCAGTGTGGCCACTGCTGCCATGCAGCAAGGGGCCGTGACCCTGGAGACAAGTGCATCAGAGAGTGGCTGCTGAACCCAAGAGGGCTGGGTCCCACACCATGCTGGAGGAGATGGCACATTACATAGGCATCCTTACCTCCAAGGGCCCAGGCTGTGGCTGACACATGGAAGGTGGCCACAAAGGTCTCTGGGGCAAGAAGGCAGCAGGAAAACAGCCTAACTGATGGGGATGGGGGCCCTGCCCAAGAGGAGGGCCAAGCAATCGGAATTGAGGGAGCGCAGCATCCTTGGGAGCTAAGGAGGACAAGCCTGATCACCAGGCAGCACCGAGGCGTCCTCCTCTCAAAATCAGCTGGGTGTCCCCTCTACTCCCTCTAGAGAACATCCTTCCAGCCCTCAGTCCTCTCCCCTTCCTCAGGTAGAGACTGGGGTTGCTATGGGGACTGGTCATCACCCCAACCAGTCACTGCCTACCATGGGAGAGGGCAGACAGCTTTCTGGTCCAGTAGGGGCAGAGCAGGCCCGGTCCTGCCACACAGGGGTTTCCTAACCTCTTCCCCTCCCAGCAATAACCACCTCCCTGGAGGCTAACCAAGATACCTGGCAACTTGGCAGCAGGGACTTGCTCAGAATTCCTCAGGGGCCTGTGGCAGGAGAAAGGGTGCCCAGCCCCCACCATTCCATAGCCTCTCTGTGGCAGAGGCAGGGAGTGGCCTTGTATGTAGACTGCTGGGGAATGGATTTTGTTGTTTTTCTAAAATTCCATTTTGATAAAAAAAAAAAAAAAAAAAACAGAAACCATTTTTTCCTGCTCTGGACAGTGGTGGCAAATGGGTGAATGAGTATTTAATAAAAGTTCCAAGTTTCCACCTGGGCTTCTCTCCCTCCTTTCAGCTCTGGGCCCTGGTGGTAGAGCTGGTCAAATATTGCTGGCACAAGCCCAGTACCAGACTGGTGGTCTGGCCTAACATAGGCATGGGTGCAAGGAAGCCCCAGGTGCAAGAGAAACCCTGAGGCCAGTGGCTTCCTGCCCATAGCTGAGTAGGTAGGCTCTAAGATGGCAGTGTGGGGACCAAACAGCCAGGGTGACACTTGCTAAGAGACTGGTGAATCCCAGGCCCATAGTGGTCAAGCTGAAAACGCTGTCTATTTTTCCTGCCTTGTAGAATGTAGTCAGGACCCTTCCAGACCCATCCCTGCATATAGTCAACTGCTCCAAGTGGGCAAAGCCCTGGGTTAAAGTGGAAGTAGAAGCACTTTTGCCAAGGCCACCAAGTTTCAGGAAGTAGAGTCTGATGCCTCTGTTGTTCTGGTGCTGAACAGTACTAGCTCTCTTACCCAGCTCTGGGGGTACCAACCTATGTGCCAGGGGCCATGCAAGGAGATACCAGAGTCACAGTCAGACCCCACAAGAAGTTGAATGGTAGGATCAGACCAGCAGCAGCAGGAAGGGGTTGCAGGGGAAAGGACTTGATGGGAAAGAGTCTTGGTTTTAACCCTGCATGGAGGAGAACATCACATGGACTGGAGCTGGCTCTTTTCCTCTCTCCACTGTGATAAGTATGTCTCAAGCCCCTTGCTGCCACCCTGTAGTGGAACTCCCAACCACAACCCATGCACCCTCTCCTGGGATATGTAGAAATTTTTTGCTTACTCTTGCCACCAGTTCTTTGAAAGCAGAGAGGCCTGAGACATGACCCCCACCTGGGAATCTGTAAACCACTGTCCTGGCAGAAGACTGTCACATCCCTCATAGGCATTGGATCTAAAGAAATGAAAGCAATAATCAGGCGTCCTGCTGTAACCCTGAGGTTAGGCCCACCATAAGGCTCACTTCTATGTGCTTCAGAAACAGTCTCCAGTGTCTTCAGGGCCAATAGACCCAGAGTAGGCAATTCTTTGAGTGCCTTTTAGAGCCTGTGCCCAGACAACAGAGAGCCAGAAAAATCAAGTGCCAGGTCCAGCTGACCTGGAAAGGTGCCCTGGGCAAGTTCCTCCTCCAACTGTGGTGTCTTTATTTTCTTCCACTTGGGTGGAGCTCCACGACAGCAATAATGTTAGGTGGCACTAAAATAAATGCTTTGTTAAGCACCTACTATGTGCTTTGCATCCGTCCTCACACATTTAACGACTCTGTAAGGTTGGTATGTTTCCTGCTTTGCCAATAAGGAAACTGCTCAAGGAGATTAAGTAACTTGTCCAAGATCTCCCAACTGCTAGATGGAATCTAGACTGGACTCCCTGTCTGTGACTCCAAAGTCAGGATGGGCTTTCTTTTTTCCCTCAGAAAGCTGCCTCTCAGGACCTAGAAAGGCTCTCGGGCTTAGGAGGTTCTCACAGGACTTCCCATACCTCAGAAGCCAGGCCAATAGAGAATAGGGGCTCTGGCTCTCCAAGGGTCAGTTCGCAGTTCCTGAATTGGGAGTGGGACCACTGAGAGGGGCAAGGACAACGAGCTGGTTTCGCCAGCGAAGGGAACCTGTGGGAGCAGGCAGGCGGAGCTCTTGCTCCATGCCACGGCCCCTCTGCGGTCTGCAGCCGTTTGCATTTCCTGAAACCGGATCTTGGTGTCAGAGCCTCCCCCAGACTAGGCGGGCGGGCGCCTCAGCCATGGCCCTGCGCAAGGAGCTGCTCAAGTCCATCTGGTATGCCTTCACCGCGCTGGACATGGAGGAGAGCGGCAAGGTGTCCAAGTCTCAGCTCAAGGTGAGGGGTACCCGGGGCCCAGGAGAAGCCTTCAGACTGCTCTCACTAGTTACTGCTGCCTGGGAACCAGGCATGGACTCAGGACACCCAGCCATCTCAAGCCAGGCCTGGGGGGCAAGGGGAACAGTACTGGGTAACTAGGATGGCGTGGTATGGCATGGTGGACACTGCTGCCTACCATTCAGAGGGACCAGTGAAGTGTGTGTACAGACACTACCTAGAGCTGGGCCTGAAACTGTCCGGAGGGAATTATGGGATCTGAGGGCCATGGGCCAGGCCACATCCCAGGCTCTGTGTGATGAGCGAGCACACCCGTACTCTTAGAGTCATGCTTGGGCACGCACTCTACTTCCTGCTGCTTTCTCCTGGCTTTGAAGAGACAGTTAGCCAGAACTTGTCAGTCACTTCCTCCCAGAGGTGAGAGAGGCAGAAGGGGCCTCTCCCAATATCTAGCCAAGCTGGCCTGCCATCAACTGGGCAAGAGAGTAACTCCTCTGAATCCTGTCCTCCAGGTGGGACAGAGCTGGGAAGGAAACCAGGACTGAGGACGTCTTATCCTGCTACCCAGTATACACATGCACCAGGTTGGGAAAGTTACCTTGGGATCTCAGGTTGGGAGGGGACAGGATCTGAACTCAGGAAAAGCCCTGTCAATGGTTGCCATAAAATTCATCATCTAGCCCTAGACAATACTGGGAGGCAAAAGAGTTTCTCCTCCATTTCTCTCCTCCAGTTCTGGGTTAGTGCACAGAAGACCCTACTTCCGGGGAAGAAAGCAGGGCCCTAGGTGACTGGAACCAGTGAACACTAGGGGAAAGGAGCAGAGTAGGCTCTGGCTTTCTGGGAGCTGCCCAAGGAGTCATTTATTCACTCTACAAATGTGTATTGAGTGTAACTGCCGCCCCTGGACCAGCCCCCAAGAAGAGGTACAGTCCCTAGGAAACCTCTATTCTAATGACCAGAGTAGGAGGTGCCTGGAAACCTGAAAGAGGTGAAAAAGACAAGAGAGGCATTATGCCCCACCCCCACTCCAACCCCCCACTTTACTGAACTTGAAGCCAAACTGGTCCTATCCCATTCCTTAGCCGGACTTGTGAGCATCTAATTAATGGTCACCTGGGGAGAACCTCCCAACACACAGGTTTTTCCATACATCCTACTTAAATCCCTTTTATTGCAGATCATGTCATCTAGTTGAGTGTTCAGTATAGATGGAAGTAAAGCAGTTAACTTAAAATCCATCACTCCGGAAACTGTGCCCCATATCCACTTCCCACCCCTTAATATCTTGCCAGAACCCTCCTAACCACTATGGCTTATGCCTCTAAAGTACTATGAAGTGGCTTCCCTTTTCCTGGTGCCATCAGTAAGACCTCCTTGCCTGAGCCTCTGTCTTGGTCTATAGTTGTACTGATGCCCACCTCCTTACCACCATGGCAACAAAAGGAGTTGAGTGTTTCCAGGGAGGATTCTATGGGGAGCTTGCATAGTTAAACTGTCTGCTATCTTTGGATCACATCCCAGCTCAATCTTGAGCCCACTGTCAATAATACTGCTGGTCACACAGGACCAATGACAGATTTCTTACCCAGAAGTGTTCTCTCTGGGAGTCTGAGCTAGTAGTTGGAGGCTCAGGGGCCCGGTGAGGAGTACAGAGGAAATGACAGGGCCCTTGTCGTAGGAGGTAAGGATGGAGAGGCAGTTCTCCCCCAAGCCTATAGTGGTGGATACTGGAATGGAAGGAAGTGGTGATAGTGTTGGGGGCAGGGGTGCCGGAAAGGTCAAAGGAGCAATAGAGAAGTGGTCAGAAAGCAGAGGAAGAAGTAGATTAGAAAGATACACCAGCTGGGCTCACTCCCTCCCCAGAAAGACTTGTGGAGAAGGAAAAAGATCTTGAGGTTTGCCTGTACTTAACTAAAACTGCTCCTGACCTAGGGGTCCTTGGTTGGGATGGTGCAAGAGACCAGCACCAGCTCAGGACTAGCTGCATCTGTGACAGTCATCTTTTCTTCCCTGATATGTTAGTTCCCAGTTGTGCCACTGGCTGTCTTGGAAAATCCATAATGAGGCCAGAGGGAGGAGGAAGAAGAGCAAGTCCTCTGAGAAAAAGCCTGAGGAGTCAAAATTGTTTTCCCTGGAAAAACAAAAGCTTGAGAAAGAGACCAGAAAGGTTTTCCTCTCCAAATTATTTTAAAAAGTGCAATGCCCTTTGCCTGGTTGGGTTGAGAACATTGACAATAGACTAACAAGAATGGCATATGCCCAGGATGGACTTAAGTTGGACACAACTTCTCAAGAGTTGAGGACTGTGAGTTTCTGCAAGGTCCACAGAACCTCCTTCTCTAAAGAACTTAGGGGAGCAGCTTT